GCTGGCCTCCACCACTTGCTGATGTTGCTAAATCTGTGGAAGCTATGCCATAGCTACCGCCAAACAATTCAGTTATTTTTACACATTTGGCAGCGTCTGCCTGAAGGGCTTGTTTCTTTTTGGCCCTAATTTTTTCTGCACCTCCTTTCCTTTTTTTGTTCTCCATTTTCTTTAGTTCGTCTATAAGATTGCTAAACAAGGGGGAGGGTGCATCCGACCTCCTCGGCTGTAATTGGTCCAGCCCAGAGTCGATCATGACCAATTGGCCAATCCAACACCTTTCATTATTTATACCCTTCCAAAAAAAAAAAAAATCGATCGGCCCATAAAAACAAAAAATCGCCAGCGGCCCACCGGGCAAATGCCCGGTATGCCCGATGGCCAGTCCAGCTATGCACCAGGGTTCAGACTTGACTCTTCTTTACCTTTGTTTTGTCCTCTAAGAAAAATTTGCCATCAAAAATGTTTTTTCTTCATCAAATGGTCTGAAAATAACAGGAGTTGTTCAGTATTATGCTACGCATGATTGGAATAAGTTTTAAGTCATTTGATTCATTTATGGTTTTTTTATTGGATTTTATAACACCTGTGGTGTGAGATAAAAACATGGGCAGCATGTGATGCCAGAGGGGCCGATGGCGCGATATGGCAGCCTCGCTTCTGTCAGTCTGCCCAGGGCAGCTGTGGCTACAACCGTAGCTTGCCTCCACCAGTGTGTGAATGTGAGAGTGAATGAATAGTGGCATTGTAAAGCGCTTTGGGTGCCTTGAAAAGCGCTATATAAATCCAATCCATTATTATTATTATTATGTGTACGATGGCAAACCGTCTGTCCTGCAGTCAGGACACGCGAGTTGTCCCTAACATTGCAGGTTTCCAAAAGAAAACAATCACCTGTAACAGCTTGTTTACTGTATATGCCCCTTGGCCTGCAACTGCAGAAAGAAAAGTTCCATTATGAGGTTTTATGCAGACTAAATTTGAAATGAAAAAAGAAATAGTGTCAAAATGTTTGAATTAAGTTTTAATTAAAAATGGGGGAAAAATCCACCTCATATTAATTAAGTATCAATCAAACCAGATGGTGTCATTTTGAGCCCTGAGGACCACAGCTGTGATTATGTGCTGCCATTTAAAATTCATACATGGTTCAAAAAAACCTTTCTCACTAAAGTTCAACATACAGCACTATGTAGTTATTCAGGTCAAAATAATCATTTAAACGTTTTATTGTTTCATTTTATTTTCGCTCAAAAACAGACGATACATTATGTAAACAAGGTCTGTGGCCCTAAATTGCAAAATGAAAGGTCAGTTTTGTGTTAATGTGTTAATCTTAAGTAAAACTAAGGTGTAACACTGAATTGATTGACAATTTGTACTTTGTACTTGAAAAAACACTGAAATGAAGTGGTGTCATTTCTGACCCTTGAGGACATTAAGAGGGTTAAGTCACCACGTCCAGCCCATCATCTATGAGTTTATTCAGCCATGAAATTTCAAATACATTTGAAATATTCAGACCGCTGCTTTAACTTACACACATGCATTGTGCTGCTTTCACTAAACAATAAATCTAATTTGTAGTGAACTATTTTATATTATTAATTTTAGTTCATAATTTAATGCTTCTTAATATCTTTCTAGTGATTTCTATTTCTCTGTAATTCTATTAGAATTCATGCTGTCAGCTAACAAGTTTGTTAATGTTAGCAAACGATTTCTGACATTTGCCTTGTCAACCAGCTAGCTGTTGTTACCTTTTCACAGTTTCGCCCGGTTCGTAGATTCGTCAGGCCTCCAGAAAGAACACCGGGGACTCAGTAGTCAATTCACAACACTTTTATTAATACACACTCATTGATCACACTTATTGATTATACCTATTGATTACACCTTCTAGAAGGGAGATGTACAGGACCCCGGACTTTCTCTGCAGATCTGAACTCCTTTGTGCGTTACATGCAGTTTTGTATCAGTGACCCGCCTTCTAAACCCTCTACAAGGTGCCATAAATCTAAGTACTATGTTTACAAACTTTCACTTGTGTGTGTGCGAGCCTGTGAATGCCTACATGTGCGCGTTCCCGCGTGCCTATATGAGTGCTCGTGTGTGACTGTGTGCACATACCTGTGTGTACGTGTGAGTGCACATGAGTGAGTGTGCGTGTGGATGTGTGTGCGTGACAGTTAAAACACTGTGGGTGTAGGTGACTCCCTAGGTCATAAAACCCATCTCCCTTCCAGACCACAGTTATCCAGTTACAAATGTTGAGACCCCCACCCAAACATCCTCTGGGGAATTTCCACTCAGTGGGGAGGTCTACAATCTACTCCTAAGTTCACAACACAGTGAGGCCTTTATTATATTGAGGGCAGCGTCTCTACAATAGTTCTACATTCTATGATAACACATTTCTAAACTCTAAATCAGCTAAACATTCTACACTGTTCACGTTTTTAGCATCTAACTACTTCATTTGTTTATCCAAACTTTATGTCTAGTGATCACGTTCAAGTGGAAACCGAGTTAAGTTTAGTTTTAGCTTTTGTGTTGCAGTTAGCTATTTTAGCGTTTATGTTTAGCTAACAGTTTGAACTGTTAGCCACACTTAAGTGAGCTATTTCAAACATTTTCTGAGTAATACTTAGAAATTTATATAACTGATGTGTTATTCCTGTTTTTCTATGTATCTATTGTTTATCTTGTTGAATTTCTTCTCCTTTCCTTAAATTGTTATTCAGGCAGCTGCTTTTGTCAATTAGTGCTTTATGAACTGAATTTAACAAACACCCCAATAATAAAGACTCATCAATAGTTCAGATTTAAAGCAGCAGGATTCGATCTGTGTCATAAATTAGTGTTCAACGATGCAGAGATACTGCAGGAAAATAAAAGTCTGGTTTGGTTGGCGTCAGAGATGATTATATTTCATGTGTGTAGACATTTATTCACCCTGGTAACCTGAATATCTGGTGTATTTATTGTTGCCCTGAACCTGTCTGCTGAGTTTTGGACTCGGTGTGTTTGTGATTTGTTTATTCTGTAGTCAGTCGCTATAACAGTCCTTTCATCGTTTGAGGAAGTTGTTTGTCCCGGGTCATTCATTAACTTCACTTCCCCTGAACTCATTTACCTGAACAACAACATGCTGGCTTCACATGACGACGGCGCAGACGCCGTCATGGGAAGCCATGTAAAATCGACTTTTACCGTCACAGCTGAGCTGCACGTTTAAAGTTAGCATTAGAGGAAGTTAAAGAGCAGAAGCATCGTAAAAGGCTAACTAATAACCAGAACAGGCATCGCTGACAGTTTCCTTTGTGCTG